AATCGCAGATTTGACAAATGTATTAAGTGTAATGGAGAGTACTTTGAAGGTGATAAGGTTGTTTTGTAAAAAAAAGTAAATACAATGCTTTGGGGGGAAATTATTTTCTTCCTTTTTTGGGGGGTACCCCCTCGTATACATGAGAGAAAAGTTACAATGTGCTAGGGCATAGAATCGTGGTCTCAGGGACCATCACACAGAGTTTAAAATGCAGTTCAATTCAACTTGTACTTGATGAGGCTGTACAGTAAGTACTGGGCACACTGCAGAATGCAAAAGCAGGTCAGAAAGGGCTGTGAGCCTCGAGATCACCATTCTTCCGGATGCCGAAGAGCCCAGGCACTCTCTTGACACCCTGGTATTTCTTTGTGCTTATTTTCTCTACTTTGTATGGGTTCTGTAGTTTACTTCTGAATAGCTCTTAAAAAGTTACTGCCATCCAGTCAATGCTGACTCACAGCGCCCCCTGCGGGTTTCCAAGACCGTAACTATTAGAGGGAGTAGAGAGCTCAGTCTTTCTCCAAAAAAGCTGCTGGTGGTTTCAAACTGCCGACCATACAGATCGCAGTCCAAAGCATAACCACTATACCACCAGGGCTCCTAACATTCCACTCATCTCCCTGAAGCCTGCCCGCCCCACACCCGGTTCCACATGCTATCTCTAACGACTGCTACCCATGTTAACTGCTCCCTGCCTGTCTACTGATACTTTGTTTAGTTTTCTTAGTGATGTTCTACAAGGCTATACAACCCACTTACGTATAAATATACTAGCTCATTTCCAAAACAAGCCTTCACTGGGTCCTTAAATTTCATGTAGTAATTTAAGTATTTACATTTTCTGGTGAGAAGGTGTAAAGTAATCAGTTTTTCAAGAGGCTTTCTGATTCCCATATCACTAAGAGTCACCCATAGTTATAGATTTAAAATAATCTGCATGTATGTAACTGCACCTAGTCATTACTCTTAAATCTACACCATGCGAGTGTTCCTTTCACACCTCCCCAAAGTGACACTTGCACAAATACAACATAAAATTATATCAATATCAAAAGCTGTTGCCTGTTAGCAAGATAATGAAATTCTTAGAACAGAACACTTAGAAAATCCCCAAATGAGATGAAATTCTGTCAGCTTGTGATTCCAAAACACAAAAACTGTTTCTAAGGATTTTAAAAGTATGCAGTCTTCCCCCATGGTTTCTGTTGTTGTTTTTATTGATTTCTAAAATAAGGAGATGTAACTAAATCAAGAAACACATTAACATATGGACTAACAGGCCTATGAAAACAAACAAGGAAAATTCATCCATATTTACGAACTATAAAATTCATGTGTCAGTCAAGTTAAACTACGTTTTCAACCAAGCAACAGCTGGTATTTTTAAGAACACACAAGACAGAAATAAAAATCTAAATCATTTTGTAAGTGTGTGTGAGATTTCACATTTATAAATTTCAACCTCAACACATGGTGTCAGATGGAAGCAAAG